AAAAAAGTCAAATATATAATGTGAAATCAATAATGCCAGTGCATTGACAGGAACACGTTATTACAGAATTTGCTTTAACACATATTTGTGCATTAACCACTTGCTGTTAGGGTTTCTGGAACCGGACTTCTTGGGTTTACACGCATAACCCGGCTGCCCGAAACTGGACAAAAAGCTGGGAGTTGTAACGTACTCAGAACAAAAGACCAGGCTGCTGGGAATTGCCAACATTTTTTCCGTTGTCAATAGCGGAGGAAATCTGTCATTATTTTGAATGATTACACCACTGTTTGTAGCATTCAGCACGAGTGGATAATTACCACCAGGGACAAAGCGCTCAAGTGCTCCAGGGATGAGCGACACAATGCCGCTGCATGCTAATCTGGCCCCTAATGAAAAGACGCCAGGAGCACACTGTGCCAGTTTTGGAAATAAAAAAAAATGTTACACTGCACAATCTTGGCTCTTTTTACAAGGTGGCAGCCCTGGCTGAAATGCTGGGGCATCAATAGATGTTGTCTGTCAGATTAGAGTAGCCACCAGACAGTCATTTGTATGGGTGTAAGCATCCAGTAAATGAAGTTATGAATTTTTGAAGAATTTTGGAAACGGAAATCTTGAAAATCCCACAAGTATATGTCATGCAACTTCAAATTAAACCCGGCAGCATATGGTTAAGAACAATTTACATGTACCAAGTCCATTTAATGCAGCATGGAAAAATAATTCTTTAGACAACACATATTTTAGAAGGTTCCAACAACATTAACTCTTTCCCTATGGCGCGCCGCTCACAGCGGCTCGAGAAAAGTTTAATTCAGCCGGAAAGCCACTCACAGCGGCTAAACCAAAATAACACGTAGTGTGGCTTATCATTGGCTAATCGAGGACCAATGGACATCACCAGCCAATGGTATACCTCAAAGTGGATGACATCGTAATATTATGTAAACTTTTTTTTGAGAATTACCAATGATGGCAAGAATACAATGAAAAATACACGACACGAACGCCATACATGAACCCAACATGGCGGACAGGGATGCAGGTGCGTGTAGCTCACGATCGCAGAGAATTTCCTCTCAACATGCCATGAATTTGCTCTCAAACTGGTTATCAGATGAAGACAGTTCCGATGAAGGAAGTGAAGAATCCGAATACAGTCAGGAAACCAGCCAGTCAAGTTCGGTGAGTGAAAATTCCGAACGTGATTCTGACGATAACTCTCATGGCGGTGCATCTCGCAAACGCTTGCAAACAACAGCGAGACCAATCCCAGAAGCATTCCAGGGACGATACTGACACTGAGGCAAGAATGAAATGGAAAAACATAACCAAAGCAAAAGATGATGAGGCTGGACAGGCATTCCGCTTCATTCCAAATGAAACACCAGGTGTTAATGCAGCCTTGGATGGCAGTTCGATTGTCTCTATGCTCTGCTTTCTCGTACTGTTCTGCACAGTATCAGTGATATGATCAATGACTATGCAACACACCGAATACAGATGAACAATCTTCCACGTCGGAGATCCATCTTCGGTAACGGAAGCCGATATCTGTTCTAATAGCAATGGGCTTGAACAAGCAGCCAGTTGGTCACGATTTCCAGTCAGCTACAATCCGTAGTTCGGTCAGATGTTTGCCAGGGATAGATTTGAGGCCATCTATCACTCTATGTTGCATGCTTCTGCCATTGATGCTAAATCAAAGGACAAGATCGAACCCTTTGTGAACACTCTTGTTGAAAGGTTCCAGTCTGCTTTCTACCCATTCACCAATGTCTGTATTGATGAGATGGTGATTGGCTGGAAGGGGAGATGGAAGTATAAGCAATACAGCCCATCAAAGCCATGCAAGCATCATATAAAGACCTTCGGCCTTGGTAACAGTTCAACTGGGTACCTGTACAATCTCCTTGTTTACTTCGGGAAAGAAACATCCTTCGACCAAGATGCTACAACTGGACAGTCAGAAAAGGTTTTTCAGTACCTATTGAAGAACCTTGGAAAAGACCACCATGTTTTCGCAGATCGGTTCTACACAAGCTACAGCCTCATTGAATTTCTCAACTCCAAGAAAATGTATTATACCGGAACTCTACATGTCAACCGAAAGAACTTCCCCCCTGAACTGAAAACACTGAAACTTCAGCAAGCCGAGTCGCAATCTTTTCAGAGTGAAGACAACAAAATCTTGTGTGTTGCATGGAGAAACGCAAACCTTGTATTTCAAGGAAAGCAATGGAAATGTCACGGTAAGAAAAAAGAGTGGCTAAGTTGAAATGCCGCAAGTTGTAAACAGTTACAACTTTTCGATGAATGGCTGTGACCAGGTTTACCAGTGTGTTTCTTACTATGGACAATTCACACGAAAAACTGTCAAATGGTGGAAAAGCATCTTTCTATGGCTACTCAAGGTCTGTCAGTCAAATGCCTATATCTTATACACATTGACACGGGACAACACCACCAAGAGGTTGAGTCTGCGACAGTTCAAGCTTCAGCTCATCTCCGCTCTGTCAGAAGAGGCTGCTGTCCATGTGACCAATGATGAACCCCGCAATCGCGTCAGACGACCACGCTTAGGCAACCCTGTGGAGTGTCTGCAGGGGAAACTCATCTTCTGGACATGTTGAAGCAGACCGAAACTGCGTAGTGCGCAGCACACCAACCAAGTGCAAACGTACAAACTTTGTATGTATGGGATGTAGTGACAGGCCCCATCTACATCCAAAGGACTGTTTCTACAAGTACCACACTGTTCCATGAACAATTTATTCAGGATTGCTTTGACTGTGATTGAATGCATGTACACAATATCTTTGTCAATGTATTTGCTTTGGTCATAGTATTTGTTTGTATTTCTTTATGATCAGTATTTACATATGTACATGTTTCGCTGTTTATTTACTTTGAATCCCAATATGATGCATCAATAAGTATGAAACCTGGTTCAGGATCCATGAGAAAACAACTGCAAATCATTGCACATGACATGGCATACGTACCAGCTATATTTTCATGTACATGATTTGCACCTGTTGAGTTAGAATAAGAAAACATACCTTTATCTGTGTGCATTGATACCTCACCAAAAAATTCATAACTCAGCATTGGAATGTCATTACGGGTCAGTTTTTGGATAAGTTTTTTCGACAATATTTAGTTTGGATTGTAGACCATCATGAGCAAAACTGCATTCTTATTGGGAATATTTCATCTGATAACTGAAGTGGCATTTTCATTTTTTTCATATTTATCTTTTTTTCATATTTGAAAGTCCGTAATACACAATAAATTAATAAATCAATCACTGTGACCTTATATTCATATTCTTCATATTGTCATATTTTGATGCCTTGTGCTGCCTTATAGCTCCTAGAATGAACAAGTTGTGCTACTTTTCTCACTACAACCTGACACCATTTTCTGAATTGCCAAAAAAATTACGTCACAGTACACTAATTATTCCGTAGTGAAAGAGTGAAGACCTTGGTATTTTCCCACTTTTTTCCTCAAAATGAATTGTTTATGACTGCATTCTTTTTGTCTTAAAGGGAAATCAGTTAGAAAAAAGTTAGGGTAGTAACCAATTTTGTATAAACTCATAATAAAAAATTGAACGTGTAAGTCTGTGGCCTTTTAGTTTACTAAACAACCACTTCCAAGTGAACCATTCTGGGTATTTTCCCACTAGACCCCATAAAAAAAAGATAATTCATTCCAAGGCCAGCTTCTATACATTGAACTTATTACATATAGTGCCTTTTCCCAGGTTTAATCTTATCAGTACCAACACAACCAGTCTGATAAATGGGTGTGTGGGGGGGGGCTACATTGTCACCAGTTACTGCATAAAATTATGGATCAACTGCCCTGTGCCGGATGAACTACACCTTGCCAAGTCTCAAATTTCAGGGCACATCTTCACCTTTTTTGTCTTTTGTTTGATTTGGAGTTTGTCTTCTTTTTTTTTTCAGTTTTGGTTCTTTTGAAACCTAGGTGACAAGAAATTAGGAACTGCAAGTTGTCATTATGAAATCACACTGAAAAAATCAAGCCTTTCACATTACATTGCCTACGTGTGCATAATATTTCTGTTTAACCTTAGGGTCATACCAAGCCATACTGATCCATACCAAATGTCAAGGGTGGAAACAGTCCAAAGTAATTAAGGATGCAGTATGCATTGTGTCAACAACTGAACAAAAACAAATGTACAATGCACAAATGAAAAACTGGACATCACTTCAGGGAAAAGCAAAAAAACACAATGTTATTTAATACCAGTGTGTCACAAGTGTGTAAGCCATCCATTTTCCAGGAAAGATATGGTTGGACAGATGCATTCAGTTCTGTATTCCCACTTCATTGTCGTGGACATGAACTGAGTTAAATGTCTACTCCTGCGTGTGAGATTACCACAACAGGTGATGCCTGAAACTGGTTCCGAGACACAAACATCCAAGCATGCCTGTGTACACTTTTTGGGTAGGTCTGCAAAGCAGGGTAAATATGGGGCCTTACCTCCTCAAGGTGATTTCAATGAGGCTGCCTGTCGTCTATAAATACTCATTCAGAAGCTGAAAAGTGTGCTTTGCCCTCAGATACAAGCAATTTGCAGTGGTGATGATCAACGGAACAAAGAGATGGGGGACCCTCATCACACAGTCTAAGGTGTGCAGCTCTAAATCTACAAACAGCCAACAACAGGATGAAGGAAGCACTGATTAAAGAAATGTACACTGCATTAGGGCAGCAGAACACATTCACAGCTTCCTCGCAAAGCCTGCACAGCCAGGTAGCACAGACCATATGCACAGACCATATGCACAGACCGACTGGAGCATATTATTGCATGAAACAGGAAACTGAATTTTGGATTGTTCCCACAGGATTTTTTTTAGGGGGGGAGAGTTGATTCACTGACCTTTTTCTCTCTTAACTGTTCAGGCCACAGTTTCAATATAGTTCAGCCATTAAATCTCCTGGGTAATGAAAATGGATTGAATGGGATTAAATGGGATTCTTGTGGTCTCCATTCCCTCCCAGATGGACTGACCACAGATAAGTGCACAGTCATGCTGACTACACGAGACAAATTTGAGTTTCAGCAAACTGCTTAAATTGTTAATGGCAGGAAATTTGACAGAAAAAAGTGTTCTTTGATCAAACAGAGTTCTTGATGAACCAACCTGAATGCACAATTTAATTAGGACAAGCATTATTTCCATACAAACAAAATCGAGCTTTTATAGAAGTCCAAAAATACTGTCTACTCCAACTTCAAACAGACCCCACTTTGTACATCCACACAGTCTTCAAACGGATGAGCCAATGAAAATAATATGAAGCATGATTTTTTTGTTTTCTTGTTTTTGGTTGTTTTTCTTTTTATGCCAGCAGTAAAGTGAATAACTAACAAAAGAAGAATATGTGAACTGCCACAACAAAATGAGAGTAAAGTCACATCCCCCTTTTTCCCGTTTTAAGGATTCAAAGTCATATTGAAGTAGAGGACAATTTTGGGGTTTTGTAATATTTGGAAAGAGTCTTCTTTTTAATTCCAAATATTTCGCACAATCACATATTTTAAAATGTCATTTTCTTAGCAATTTTTACGATAGCATTATTTGTGCCTGGTCTGAAATGTTGAAACAATGTCAGGAACAAAGACGCAAAGCAGCCAGAATAATGCCACATTGTCACCTTATACTTTTACCAAAAGTGTTCCATGTACATACTGTTGGAAAGCTCTCTTTCTGCTGAATTGAAAAATACCAATATCTCAGTTTTTGAAAATTCCAACTTTTAGCTCATTTTGTGGTGACAGGTCACATACACAGGGTTGAATGCGAGGGAGGCCTGCAAGTTTACCATTACACTTTTTCTATCAATTAACAATTCCTTCTTTGCAGTTTTTTTTAACTGATTTTCCCACGTGTACACATTTACGATAATAAATTAATAAGCAAGCAGGCCATTTTGGGACAGTGCCAAATGGATTTCCTTCCCAGAGCACATGTATCTTTGTTACAATGTATATATATAATTGTATCCTCCATAAAAGCAGGCCAGTTTTGAATTTGTCTCAAAGGAAATTTTCGCGTGTGCATTGTTTTAGCTATCCTTCTTCTTGCTTAGGATTTTGGTTATTCTCTTGGGCTTTTTCATTTGTTTCTCATTGATGGAAGAAAAATAACCCCACTCTAAAACACAATGTTAGATTTCATGGGAGTACAGAGCCTATCAAGCCCCATATGAAGTAACTATGACTGGGCTGTACAAGTAGCAGATCCACTGTTAACAGAAGGGGGAGTGGTTGGGCACCTCAAATGGAGGTGAGCCAAAATATACAAGCAGGCGTGTTCATAGTGGGAATTTGTTCCGAAAGCTAAACAACCAGTTGATGGCAAATTAAAAAGAACTAGGAGTGCAGAAAAGGCATTTCTCTCATGAAAAATTCGAAAAGTGGGGGGGGCAGGGGTGCAAGACAAGCACGCATACCCCACTTGGATCCCCTATTCTCTATTGTACAATACTGTTTTTTATCTTAAAAAGTCCTTCAAACTGTTACCGTAACAAAGGAAATGAGCTCAATTGAACACCTGCACCTGAATCTCTGCCAGCACCCTCTGCCACTGCTCGTCAAATTTACAATGAAATTCACCAACACATTGAACATACAATAAATTTTTAATGAATATCGCATGAGAGAGTCACACATGGGAATCAAATAACTGCCCCCAAAATAGCCATTTCTCAGAAAACTAATCAAATCTGCTGTCAGTGCTTCTTCTGGTCATTAGAGCACACAAATGTGACCAACAAATTAATATGTGAACGTCATCCTTTCCCACCTGAAAAATAAAATGACAATTTACTAGATACTAGACTTGAAGGTTGTGGGCTGCCTTGTAACACCAGCTGTCACGTTGCAAATCTCAGGATGTCATGGTGGTTTGATCCTTACCGCAGCCATTAACCTTATAACATGCATTTTCTCATATGCTGCTACGAGTACAATGTACCTGTATGTCTGCAAGTGTTCATATTAGCATTTGGATTTTGATCCCATATGTCACAACTGTACAATAGTAACAAAACAAAATAAATGGAGATGGTGATAGATGGGAGGTGACCAGGAAGCTTAAGCCTGGTCCCGTTTTGTAAAATGTAAATATGCATTCTAATGACCACGTTTGACAAACAATCAATAGCAACAATACAATAAACAGTTTGGTAAATAAATTACACAGAGCTAAATGAAGCCAAAACAACCCCCCCCCCAAAAAAAACAAAACAAAACAAGGAAAAGGTGACTAAACAAAATGACTTGCAGACAAGACCATAATAATAAGTTGCAATGTAGCTTGTACACATTTGGGTGGATGCTTATCTCTCACAAAACCAGAAATATGTACATGTTTCAGTTATCTTTTGAATCTATATGCATCATTTGAAAAATTAACATATGGGGTAAGCTGATTCCGAAGAAGGGGTCCTTGGTGTCAAACTGTTTTCATGAATGACGCAGACGTAACTATACAAAATGTGACGTTAATTTGATGATATTGTGTTTAGTAAATGTCTACAGCTTCCTCATACATACAAAGAGCTACATTGTATATTGATGGGTAACAGGTTGCCAAACTTAAATTAAAACCTAAGGATTTACAGATGGTATTGTACTCAAAAACATTTATACTGTTAAAAGGGGGCAGTGTGTTCTCTAAAACCGGAATTTTCTATGATTTTCATTAACTTCTTGTGTATTGTTAATGCTAGTTCCAAAATTAAGATGGGGGTCGCCAATGTATTAAAAGCAGGGAAAAGTTTACCCATCTGGACCACCCAGAATCTTGGAAACTGATGTGAACAAACCAATGGTGTACTTTGATTTATCTACTGATGAACTAATTTGGTCAATAAGGTCAATCAGGGCCATCCGGTTTGTGAAAGTAATGTGGAATCTGTAATGGGAGTCACATACATGTATACGTAGAACATTGCATTTTATTTATGAGGGTTTGAGGCAATTTGCAGCTAATCTCACAAGTAATTGGGGAAGCATGGTAAAATTGAAATACGGTAGTGTAAAAGCAAGTCTGGTGCGAGCCAATTTGGCTCATCAGGTCGGTGTTTATCTCCGGTTTCCTTGGCATGAAACAACTGAGAATATTTCCATTCCCTCAGGATGGGATGCCAGTCCATCACAGGTTGTTTCCCCAGCTAATGCTGGTATTCATTTATACTTTTGGGTGGAGAGAGGCAAGCAGGGGTGAAGTGGCTTGCCAAGGGCCATAACATACTGCCACCAGCTGGATTCAGACCTCCAACCCTACGATTGGAAAACACAGATCCTGACCACTTGGCCACATGCCCCCTTAATACGGTAGTACTCACAAATTAATTGAGGGTCACCAAGTGAGTGAGTGTGAACACAAAGTATCTTGAAACTCACATGTTGGGCCATAAAAAAGAATCACAATATTAAGATAAAACTGAAATCTAAAAGATGTTTTTTTCAAAGGTATATTTTTCCAAGAATTTCATCTGTTTCCTTTTAAAAATATTACAAAAAGAAAGACCAAGGGGTCTGTAAATTAAATACATAACATTTTTCTTGTGGGGAATTCCTATTTTGATAAACATGGATTGGAAACTTTCAGAAACACTGAATAGATCAGACCTAATGGTAAATTGAGTTGAGGCTTTTACAAATACCACTGCCTGCACTGTTTTTATGTTCACATACACATGCATATATAAAGGAATAAGTAATAGAGGTACGTTAGGCAGGGTTTCAGTTAAACCAATAAGATTCCTGAGAGTAATTATCACCAGATCGTCAAAATTTCTGTGGATACTTTTGAAATTAGAATGAAATGTGAAGAAAGATTTCGTTTTCATATCTGTGAGTTTTTAACCCGCAGAGCTGTCTTTCTAAGAGATAATGAGCCTCACGTGTACTGGTACTATGTAAAGGCTTGTTTACATGTAGGTCAACTGTATTCAGAAACAGAAAGACAGAGTTCTTGAGGTGGAACTCTGCACTCAGGCTACTTGTATCTTCTGAATCATTGGGATGCAGCTGTTGTTGTCATTGTTTAGGAAGAACCCAGTTTGAAAGCAACTTGGCACAGCTGGCATGAAGCTTCATGCGAACACGTTACAGTGAGTGTGTAGGGAGGAAATGGCACCAAAAATGGCACCAGAAACCCTTAATTAGGAAAAAGCATGGCTTATATATGAAAAATACCACACCAATGGCAAAAATATTATACATGCACATTGTATGTACTAGAGTACATGTAAAGTGTGAACTTAGTAGGATTTGTGTCATGACATATACCTCACTGTTTTTGGTCAGGTACATGTACGTTATATATACACTGTATATTTCAATGAGACTAGTTTGCTAGGATATCCCATATGCATGTGTAGTAATGAAGAAATTAATAATAAAGGAAGTGCTCTATGATAATGACAGGCAGACAAGTAAAACTGGAGGATATTACTGAGCATACCTAGGAGATTGGGCTTGCTCCCCCCCCCCCCGGCCCCAGTGAAAGGGTTTTGAATGGGCTGTTTCTCTGCAGTTTGTACAGTTTGGTCCTAATTGTGACATTCTCACTTAAGTAATCATTCAACAAGTTTAAGCTGAGCATTTTCTTTCAATAAAAATGCAAAAACATTTGACATATAACAAAATTAACGAAGTTACAACATTCACTGTCAAGGTCATTGTACAGTACATAATACAAGCCTTATAGAAAAAACCCTTTATAGCTATCAGATACTCCAAATGGGAAAAGATTTATAAATGCAACCTCAATACTCTAAAAAGGGGACAGCGGTTCTGATGAAGACGAAGATCTGTAGGATTTTGCTGGGCATGCTCTTTGTAGCATATTAGTGGGAAAACCATATTTCTAATTGTCATGATATGTGCTTAACCACATAAAAGGCAGACAACTGTGCACCTAAGACACCATAGCCCTGTCAAATAGACTATATTACATACCGGTAGTAAATTTCTTGGCAACAGAGATTTTTAAACAAGGGCTCAGGCGATGAAGTGCACTTTACACGTACCGGGGTAATCTTCCTTAATGTCTGAAAGCAGTTTGAAGTAATGGGAGAGGGTTAAGTGTATTATAAAGAGCACTTGTTTTATATTTGGATAGTCCATGCTTTTCCAGATAACAGAGGGTGCTGTTGTTGTAAAGTCAATCAAGGAAGACACTTTCTGCTATGTTTATAGACAAATACAGCAATGTTTCAAGGAACATTCCTGATGGCTCTCAGTCTTTCATAGCAATATTGGTGGGGTTTGTGAAAGAGGTCCCCGGATGGTTGGAGGGTTTAGCTTCATACTAATAGCTTCAGCAATTCCGTCATGCTAGTTTTAATCATGAAAATACATTTCGCAATAATATTAGAGAAAAACTGTTACAAAAGCTCATTTGATTTGTCAAATTTACTAAAGAAATATACACTTTTGCTTTCGATCCATCCATTATATCCACGTCTTTATCTTTGATCTTGCAAACTCACCTTGCCATCAGGATCTGTTAAAGCACAATCCAGCACAGCTATCCACATGTTGGTTCACCGATGGCAATCGTGGTCTGCCAGAAACAAACAGGTGCACCCTTCATTATTGCTGATAGCAATATTATTGCTGATTGCTGTCGCATCTTCTCCTGTTCAGGTATGTACGTCAGATCTAGAATGTCATGGAAGACACTGTGCTTGTGGGCTTTGTGTACCTCAAGCCGGGATTCTATCATCTTTTCCTGACACAAGCTACAGTATCTGTACCATCCCATCAGTATCTACCTAATGAATGACTGTTTCATCAACAGGTTGATGGGCAGGTTCATGGGAGGTCAAGATCACTCACAATGGGCAAAATCCCAGAGCTGGTACAGTATTGTACTGATATAACCACATTTATTTTAGTTGAAGATAAAGAAACTGCTCTCCTGACCTTGGCAAGATGGCATTGCAAAGTTTTTGAGTTGTCATGCATGAGTCATTCTTCGGTTTTTCACTTGGGACTCAATCTTTCAAAAGTGAAAGGTCCTTTGTCTCCTTTTTGGGCTAAATCCACAATTGTAATGGAACCTGACAAATAAATAAATTAGACCACCTGAACCATACCTTCATCATTTAAAAACAGTGTGTACACAAAACCAAGTGTCTCCAGAACTGAGGTTACGAGCACATCTCTCACAAAAGGGATCTACTTTTGCTACACTCTCAGATTTGTTAGTTGAGGATTTGTTGAGTCAAAGCTACCTTCCACACACAGAAAAGGGTACAAACGTTCTTAATTATACAACTTTTCAGGACTTGATAATCCGAACAAAATTTGGGGGTTTCGTCTTTTGTTTCAAAAGCGCAACCAGTGATGACTAACAGAAATTTGACAGCAAGGAATATACCTCATGTCTCAGTGTGGACCAATGATATGGGGGTTTGGTGTACACTACGAGCTGACCAGTTTATGACAGCTAGCCTCTGCACCAATAGTCAAGGAATAAACATGCGGTAGCTAAATGTGTTGGTCAACGAGGGTTTTTCATGCTCTTGAGTTCCTGTGCCATCAGTGAATTATGAAATTAGGTAACGTATTATTAAAAAAAATTACCTGATATAGAGTATTGCTTGTCATTTCCCCAGCCAGCTACACTTGTGCACCGAAGTCAGAGAATGAGTGCTTTTCAATTAACACATGGTCTTATGGTCAGATCACATCATCATTGGTTTTGCAATTAATTCAATTGTAACAAATAAACACATGGTCATATCAGTGAGATCACTATGTCATTGATCATGTTGATATTTCCAGTAAGTTCATTGTGACACATGAATGAACAGTAGTGCACTGTGAGCATGCTGGGTGCACTGCTATGACAGAGCAACGCCCTCTATTAATTTAATTTCCCTCAAGCAGCAGAAGAGTGAAGCAGCAAAATGCAAGGACAAGGGATATCTCTCCTTCTGAAAATATGTGATCTGGCAAAATGGTGCAGCTCGAGATAGCACCCTTTGTCAATGCTTTGTACAGTGAATAGGTAAAAAGACCCCCATTAAACAAAGACATTCCTAATAAGATGCTGTGCTCATGCCGAAATACTTTCAGCCTAATTTTAAAGGCAAATAAACAGATTACAAGATGATCCATTTTATTTTATGAAATCTATCAAAAAAAGTTACAAAGTGTGGAAGATAGCACCTGCTATCTTAAAATGATAAACCAAATGAGCTCAGAATTTTCCTCAATGAAACAAAGCACCCTCAACTTCCCCAAAAATTATCTGATCTCAAAAAAAAAAGAAGAACCAATTGAGATACACATGTACCCTTTTGCCATAGAGGGGCCGCACAAATCCACAGATTACCTAAGTTTGTCCCATTCCTGATATTTTATGCTATGATTCAGCCTACTCAGTGCAAGAAAATCTTCCACACTGCGCATTTCCTTCATCTGCCCTTTTGTTCAACTGTTCAAAAACTCTTTTTGAGGTATGAACTGCTAATTTTTTACTTACATATTGTAGATGAATTTGGCTGATCCACATACATATAATTGAGGGGCTTAGCAAGGGCTTGGTTTGTGTGTTTGGCTATGTCTTCTGCAAAATGGAATTTACGCCCTGGGTTATACATTTTTCACCATCCTGATTTTGCCACGTTCTATTGGAGCCTCGATGTCACTGTTAATATCTCCATCCAGCCTGGCCCACTGCATACAGCAAATTGCCATTCTGCACCCATGGTTATACCAAATAATATCCGTACTTATCTGAATCCCCCCATTTTTGTAAGGTAAACAGGACGAACCCAGAGGCAAATTTTCATGAGAGAACTTGTTTTTGGATATCAAAGGGGGCCCAATTTGGATATTTTTTCATAAACCCCTTATGGCCTCTCTGAGGGGCAGGGCTACGTTTTGGAGCTTTTTCCACGCTTTTTGAAGAAAGGGGATTGATACATACAAAAAAATTGCCTTTCAGGATTTTTCTGCAAAAAGTTGGCTTCTCTTTTTAGAATCAACAAATCAACAACAGCAACTTAACTGACGTGACTTGGCACAGTGGCCACTAGATGACGTGCCTATCAACTCTCATTTGGCCTGGCAGTTTGGGGCCAGGTTCACCAGGTGATGTAGTGGATGACCAGGGTGACCTGCCACATTCATTCAGGTAATTCGGGGGCGACCACAAAAGGTGGCACCAGTGCAGTGCTGAGGACCTACATGTACTAGCAACGAGCATAATATGCTGACCTCACCATCAGATGGAAAAAACAAACATCCAGTCAGATTTCCCACCTCCAACTGACTCCAATTACATTGGCACCCAGGACATCAAGACAGTCTAGGGATTCTTGTACCTGGGCTCTAAGCTCCCTCACTTCTGACAGCTGTGCAAAGGTGGAACTTCTATGCTGACTGCAAATAACTGGCGGGGCATATGAGAAGATGCCACAAATCTTACACAGAACCACCTTAAGCACCAAGACTAAGCTCTGCCTCCTATGTATAGACTCCATCTTGCTACCGCTCTTGCAGCCCTACTAGAAATAAAGTTGATGCCTAACACAGGACCTGCCTTCTTCCTTCCTTAAACGTGCAGCCGTGTGTGTATGAGAAAAAGTGTATGGTTTGCTCCGCATTGGTCCAAACAAGAACAGCAAAAAGTAAAGTGCAGATGTTCAAGTGGGCAAAATTAGGTCATGCAGAACTATAACTTCAGTGGATGATCTCTCAGCACAAGCTTGCAGGTGTTAAAGGATTTGTGCTCTGCTGGGTCTACTAAAGGCTATTCCAGTTCCTGATGGTGCCTGGAAAGAAGGAATTGGTGTGTGCTGAAGAGTTTATAACAATTTGGGAATTGTGCCCTCTGGTTGGTGTAAGTTTATTTAACTGCAAGTTCCCAATAATGTTGACTAAGTTGTTGGTGATTTTGGATATTGAAACTATAAAGGCAACTGTGGGTACGTCGGTCCTGTAGAGATGACTAGTTCAGGTATGCAGAGACACTACCTGTCCTGCTAATATTCCCCAGAAAGTGGGCTGCATTGGGCAAAACCTGTTCCATTTCATTAGTGTTCTTCTGTATGTGGGTGTCCCAGGCTGAGCAAACATTCTACTGCAAGTAGTGGGGGGGGGGACTGTTTGGTACAGTTTGACCTTTGCGACAAAAAATGGCAAAAGGCCACATTAATATTCATAAGTATAATAATAATTTGATATTGATATGAATAGAAATGAGGTGTAGGGTGAAAAGTTATAGTACAGAATTACTTTTGGTAAGGGATAGGCATAGGATAAGGTCAGAAAGTTTGGTACAGGTTGACCCTTGTGTATGGGATAAAATAGGAATAAGGCCTAGCAAGGGGTAAACATTTTTGGTACAATTTGACCTTGCTTATGAAGTTATGGCACAACATGATGAAAGAGGATGAGTCATATAGTGTGTGATGGTATACTGACTAGTCCACGAGGCAATCCTAAGGTAATCAAGGAGTAGGAAGCGATAATCCCTACACAATTGACAGCTCCAGCCGCCCGTTAATGAGAGGGAAGAAGACTCTGTTGTCCCTAGCTGAATTTTGTAATCCTTTGAACTAGAGTGTTTTACGTCCCGTTACCCTGTACATGTATACCTTTCACAAATTCAGTCAGAGTGGAGTGTTACTCTTGTTCTTTATTGCGGAACCCAAATGTAAAATCCAGCATTATATAAAATTAAGAATTCTGGGGGTGGCATGACGTCAGTTGGGGATTTATAACACGTAGCAAAGGTGTAAATTTATTCGTTGTGCTGTGGAATATTGTGTAGAAGTTCCGGCCAATATCCGATCTGAGAATTATTATTCGATAGTCATACCGATAATTATAACACAAAACAAATTCAGTGGACTTTAATTAACCAATATTGGTTTCTGGTAGGTTTGTACTGATACCGTTTTATTTCCCATTGTTCATCATTGATTTTTTACAATAATTATCTTAGTAACTACTACAAGGGTGATTACCAGAAGTTTGTTCACTTTGAAATCAGAGTTACTACATGTACTCATTATTTTTGGAGCCATTTGTCTCTACAGACTGTTATCTTTTAGGCCTGCTCCTCTTCGTCGTGAAACAGTCTGGCAAATTTTTCAGCACATTTAGGCAAAACTCTATTCAAGGCTTTGTTGACATTCATGCCTTTATCAAGTTTTCCATCAAGATCATCCACAGTGTCCTTGTGAATTTCATTTTCCCTCAAATATAGGTAACTTGACAGGAACTCCTTATAGTTGTCGAAAAAGTCTTGTTTGACTGCCCAGAGGGTCTTTCTGTTTGCCTTCTGCCTGGCTTGATCTTCATCCATGCCTTTGTTGACGTACTTGTCATATTTTTCATCCCTCATCTCCCCATGCGTTTCTCTAGCTTCAGCCAGCCAATCTTGGTAGGCGGCATTGTCTTCCAAATCTGAACTGTCTTCATCTGAGGTTTTGTCATCGACCTCCTCAACAGAATCCGAGTTTTCGTCAGCTTCATTCCTTCTTACCTTTCTGAAGTAACCAAGAACTCAGAATGACCGCTTCCTTCATCCCTATCACCCCAAGGTTCAACCTCCTCAGGATGTTCTTGCTCATTCTCAGCGCCTGTTCTGGTGTTGGCCTCACTAGAGGGAGCCCTACTAGGAGTACTCCATGGATCCATTGGACTATTATGGCAAGGTTTCAGCCTATCAGCATGTACAACTCAGGGCTTTGCACCCTTTGACCTCTGGATGCGGAACACAACATCCGAGAGCTTCTTCAACACGAAATACGGCCCCTCCCACTTCAACTGAAGCTTGGGGCCAACCCCTTTCTTCTTCGCGGTATTGAACAGCCAAACAAAGTCCTTCTCTTGGATACCAGGATCGCACGTCCGGCAGTCATAGTTCTTCTTCTCGCGTCTCATAGCATTGCCCAGGCATTTCTGTGCCCTTTCGTGAGCACTCCTGATCTGATCCCTCAAACTTTTTGCATAGTCACTTTTTGCCTCGTCATCACTTGGGGCAGGCTGCTCAATTGTTTGATCAATTGGGAGAGTG